ACTACTGCTGCAATACTCTGCTAGGGGTTAATCCCCAAACCCTAACAAGATTTGCCGTCTAGCATCTGGTATTTGCACTGAAAGAAAACCCCGATTTGGTCCCAAATATCTTCAAATAGTACATAGGTAATCTTTGTTTAGCCGAATGCTTCAAACAATGACTGTTCAATGACTGTTCATGATGGTGATGAAAAAAATAACTTTGTAACCAATCCCAGCATTAATGACTTCATTTGTCTGTAAAGCAAGACCGATGAAAGATCGTAAAGGTAGTCGCCATTTCACGTAGCAACTGCTTTGCTTAACATCCTAATTGCCAGTCCCAATTGTGGTCGATAAAGAAGGACTACCTACAGTATATTGTTCAGCACTTTTCATTTGCATTGCTGCAGGGAGGGCCAGGAGTTGAAAGAAAGAGAGGGAAAGAAGGTTAATACCAATGTAGGGGTGGGGGGTGGGGGGAGAGAAAAGCTTAGCCGAAAGAAAAAATGGGCATCATAAAGATGTAGCAGCCTAACTTACAGTCACAATATAGCCCTGGGTAATATATACTTGAGTGAGTAAGCCCCTTAACAGAGAATCTGTGTCAAACTTGGTGTAACACCCAATTTTATCAAATACCTTTCTCAATGAAAGCTCCACATTTGTATCTGCATTGAAATTATATTTTGCAATAGCTTCTCCAATCTCAGCCACGTGTGCTGGGGGTGGTGGTCTTGCTGGCTGTGCTTTTTCTGGGGGAATAAGTTTCTGAAGAGAGAATAGTGGTTATTTTAATCAACCTTTCCAAATTGGGTATCTATTTGTAAAACTCATATATATATATTAGATTGCTGGTGTAAAGACAAACCTCAACATAAGAAATAGGAAAAATCCCAACTCTTCCGTAGTGTTCGCCCTCATACCAGTTTTGATCCACTTTCCTGAGGATGTAGATAGTGTCTCCTTTCTTAAAGGGCAGCTCTCTGTAACAAACATTTATACACAGTGATACAGAGTTGACATCCTGGTAACTATATCTTGAATTGAATATTGTTTATAATTTTAATAACAAAAAGAACCAAAATTAGCAACTAGAAATTACCACATTTTTCACTCCATATGACGTACTCCCCCCCCCAAAGTAGGTAGAAATGTCTGTGTTTCTGTGTTGGTCCATTGGTGAATAGCAGCCGGGTCTTGGCAGCGGGATCCTTTTACAGTGCTGAATCCCACCTCTTCTGTCTTTGTCATTGCCTGCCTGACTCTTTTGCAAGAGTCAGTAGGCAGAGCTGGCACATGAGAGGACACCTATCTGTGGTCCTCTCAGGCTCCACCTGATTTTTTTTTTCTTGTTTTCCTCCTGTAAACCTAGATGCATCTTATGGTCAGGTATGTCTCACAGTGCAAAAAATACGGTATATTTAGTAATGAGGTCAACCATAAACACAAAGCAATTCTTTGGGAAAAACCATAAAAGATAAAGAAGGAAAACTAATGGCAGAAGACCCATCAAGACCAAAGTATTAATACAGGTAGTCCTTGACCACAATTTGGTCCCAAATTTATGTTGCTAAGTGGGACAGTTATTAAGTGAATTTTGCCCCATTTTACAACCCTTCTTGTCACAGTTAAGTTAGTAACACAATTATTAAATGAATTTGGCTTTCCCATTGACTGCTTGTCAGAAAGTCACAAAAAGTGATCACATGACCGTAGGACTCTGCAGTTGTCATAAATATGTCTCAGTTGTCAAGTGTCTGAATTTTGATGATATGACCAGGGGGATGCTGCAATAGTCATAAGTGTGAAAAATGGTTATAAGTTACCTTTTTCAGTGCTGTTGTAACTTTGAATGGTCACTAAATGAACTATTGTGAGTCAAGGACTACCTGTACAATAGGGGAGGGAATTAGGATGCTGTTGTACAAATCCATCTTGCCGATTGTATCCATTTCTGCTTGATTGCTCATGGTCACTCATGCCTTAACCACTCTTATCAGAATTTTTGCAACATTAGGAGGCTATTATTGAAGACCACTTAGAAACTACAACTAGTTTAGAAAGTATTAGTGTAAGTGGCATATAAAACCCTAATTTTCTATCCCACTCTAAAATTTAGATTGTTCTGACTTTGCCAGCTTTTAAGAAAGGCTATACTTCTGTGGACTTTGGCAGGCTTAAAGATATTGTTTTTCTTATAACAGTATAGAAATTCACCCTAAGAGCAATTTTGTCTTATCTTAATGCTGATAAAATGGCATAAAGAGCATAATAAAAACTATATTGGTGAGAGTGTTGAAAAGTGAAAGTAAATCAACACTGCATATTTAAATCATACATTAACAATATGTCCATTTTTATTTTACTGCAAAATTGTTCCCTCTATGCTAAATAAGATAAAAGAAAACAACTTCAATTTTAGAAATTATTATTTTAAGTATGTACTATTCTATTATGCATTTAATATTGCTAAACACTTTATGGGGGATGAGTCATATATTAGTTAAATATTGCGGCTACTAGTTCTTAAATTATTGAATATTGCAGTATGCTTAAATAGTAAAAAAATTAGTTTAACTACATAAGAACTAGAGACTCGTTTGTATCCATTGTAATATTATTGCACATATTTAACATTTAAAATTCATTAAGATTCTTTGGATAAAAAAAAATTGGATTAATACTTACTTAGAAGTTTGCGCCTTAAAGTCATATACTGCTCTAGCTGGCAGTCTCTGTAACAGAAGGAAAGAAATTAGTCTAAATAACATGTATTTAAAATAATATGTAAAATGTATCTAAAATAATGCCCCTCTGATGTAGCAAAAAATGGGAGCGGGGCTGCATATTCTTCATATGATGTCTGTACTTGCATTTTAGGTAGCTGTTTCAGGATGGCTTTACTTCATGATGCCTCTGTGTAATCCTAAATAACCTGCTTTCATGATAGCAGGGAAGAGGGAGTACTACCCCAGTTAGCAGCAATATTTACTGATTAATACTTGGTCCCAATTTTCTGGTGCATGTTATAAAAAATATAAAATGAAACTATTTTAGGATATCCTTCAGAGGACTAAGTTTTAATATAACAAAACCAAACACATTGCACAAAAATATTAATGAGTCTCTGTATGCTTCCAGGTCTACATTTGTATTTCAAATATTATTAAAATATTGAGGTTATTTTGCAAAAGGAAGTATTCACTATTTCTGCTTTCCCAGCAGAAGGACCAGAAATTCAGAGAGAAGGCCTGGAATTCATTGACTCAAACTTTTCCCTTTGTCTAGATAGTAAAAGCCTAAGGAGCAGCATCAACAAAGGGAAATGGGATTAGCATCCTAGAAAGGAGAAATTTATTTAGGCCGAGTGCTTTCATTGTGATTTAATCTCTTTTCTGAACACTGTGTACCTCTTGGCAGGCCCACAAATATACTGACATTTATTGCTTGTTAAACAGATGTTGCAATTTTGGTTGTTGCGTCTTTCATCTGCAGTTCCAATGCATACTTTTTCTGCCCTCCCATCCTCACAAAGGAATTTGAAAGCAATCTGCAATTATCTTTACTTTTCTTGACCTCAAAAGGCAGAAGACATACACAGATCATCATAAGCCAGTCTAATCAACTGTAAAAAAAGCAAAGGGACTGAAATCCACCAAAGTCTTCCTGGCTACCTTGCCACCATTCCTTTGTTCCTCCTCAAAGCCCTGTGAGATGAAAATACAAGCAGCTTGGAAATTTAGATCATCTGTGATCTAATATCATAAGATCCCAACAACTGTGATCTTAGCTGCATGATACTATAACGGAGGGAAAGGAAAGGAAAGGAAAGACAATTTCCAATTACATGTATGAAAAAGAAACGTCCAGGAGCAAGATGTCAAACCTCTAGGGAACACATTAGAGAAGGCCTATTCAATGATGAAAGGATTCCTGTCAACAGTAGGGAAGTGAAAAGCCTACAAGGGCTGCAGAACCATAGGGAACAAAAAAGGGAAAATACCGGCTTTGCTACAATTTCAAATTCAGAAATTCATTGATTCAATGGCTCAAAATAGATGAGATCAATCAGGATCAGAACCAGTCCTGAACTGGTATGGAGTACTTCTGCAGAAATGCCCTAATTGTAGCCCATGCTCTGCTTCTCCTTCTATCCCAACTGCATTGTTTTGTAACCCCAGGGGATAAAACAGCATTGCCAAGAAGCTGTGCAAGATATGCTTTTTAAAGATCTCCAGGTGTTTCCAGAAATACACTTCTGGCTTCAGACATGTTTGTTTAAGTAATTTTCTGGCCTTACCTCTCTTTCTGGAGTTCCTCTCCTTTCCTTTGGAATACACCGACTCACATCAGTGAAAGCAGAAGAATAGCTTCCAGGAGATTCCTGGTCTACTGAAAGTAAAATGCCATTGGATGAAAATTCATGAAAAACAATTGCGGAAGCTTATTTCAAAGGAAACTACATCTAAATTCATGTTAATGTGAATCTGAATTAAACTAATGTAACAACAAATAAACAAAAACTGACAAAACAGAAGTCTAGCCATGGAAACTACTTCCTATACTAGTTATACAATTTCAAACTGAGCCTGAAGCATTAAAAAGAAAACCAAGACCAGCAACATAGGTAGCATCTTCTCTGATTCTTACAACTCTTGATTTTAGAGGAACAGCAGAAGAATAAGTTACTGAAGATGCAAAAGGTAAAACATAGTATTGACTCATAAAGCTAATAAACATGTATCCACATGCAAGGGAATGCGTCAAAAGCATGCCACAATGATGGAATAATGAAATTCTGAGGTAATATAGTAGAACAGAAATGTATGACTGTTTTATGTTAGACCAGATTGGATTACACATTTGCCACATTACTGTGTAATCTGGGCTTGTTTTAGAACAAGTAGATATGAAAACGTGGTCTCTAGGTTAGGAGTGCAGTGCTATTATTTTTCTGTTCTCTGTGCTGCCACTTTTCCCAAAGATGCCATTTGCTGTAAGGGGAACTTTGGGAAAAACAGTCCTGGGGACTATTTTTCCTGAAAAGAGGGAACCATAAAAGCTACTAGCGTACCATGCCATTAGTCAGAAGCATTGCTGCTATTTTTTTAATAAAATAATCACAGATCAAACAAATAGCTGCTTTCCAGGTTAAGTGATATCTATAATTCCATATTTCTAGCTCACAAAACTTAATTATTTATATAGAAGTGTCAGTGAAATAGGATTGCATCCTTTCGGTGTGATCCCAAAGTTTATTAGGGAAAAGGCTTCTTAAATTCAGCAGATTGATTACTGAGTAAACACATTTAAGATTAGAATATGACAAGCTGAAAATACCTATGTAAGTGCTATTAACATGAAGAAAAAAATAATGTAGCTCATTAACACTTTTAAGCAGCTTTGTAAGGTCTATACTATAGTTCATTTTTATAGAAATCCTCAATGAGAAATAATTATTCTATTTGTTATTTTCAAATAACTATTTGTATTTATGGTACCCTAAACTGGAATTTCTCAAACTTGGTAACTTTAAGATGCGTGGACTTAAAAACTTCCAGAATATAACTCCAAGTGCAATTTGTGTTAGCGGCACCTGTCATGTCAGAAATTACTATTGCATGTAAGAAATGGTAGAAACTGCATATATCTAAACCCTGATATCTAAATAATATGATCAATTTATTACATTTACATGGAGCAAGAAGTTTCTGGACTCATTTCTGAACAGCAATTCTAATTGTTGGTTTATTTATTTACCAAATTTATATGGCTGCCCATATCACAAGAAGTGATGCTGGACGATGTACAACAATGGTAGATGCAAAAGCACCATGAAGGTTGGACTCAAATCTTCTTTCTTTGTCTTCCCCCTGGACAAAGGAGACTGGCACACTCATTTTAAACTAATCAAGTTGTAGATAACTAAGTGAACTCTAGCTAGTGTAAAGCAGTATTGGTTTACCAATAAGTTAGGAGTATAAACTATATTTTGATCCTTGCTTATTTTAAATGAGAGGTAATATGTGGCTTTACTCATGTTGCTAAAATATAATTCCCTATATTGCTTGCCACTGGAATCAGCTCGGAACTATGGTTTAGCAACCCACTGTTTAATATTGTTTATAACTGGTTCAAAATAAGCAGATTTATCCCCAAATTTAGCATCACAGGAAATTTGATTTTAGCAACACAGGAAATTTCATTTAAAAGAAGACATTTCTAATCTCAGTCTCACTGGAAAAGATGTGAGGGACAGCAGAGGAACCATTGCTTTCTATTGCTGCTGATAGTTGAGCTATACAGCTCTGTGCGGAGGAGACCATGACTGAGTTGAATTTTAAAATATTCCATATTATTAATGGAGATCATGTGCCTGTTATTATTTTTATTGAAACATAGACTTCAGCTAAGTAGATGAAATTGCAACTGTAATACTCCTTACCTTGGTTTTATCCTTGTCGGACTTGTCCTTCTTAATATTAAATGAAGCCATTTTAAAATTAGTAGATTTTAATGTTGCCACCATCATTGCACAGATGGAAATTTAGATTAGTGAGCCAAACATTCAATTCAGCCATAATTATGTTTCTACATAACTGAATTATTTTGTGAACCTAGATGGAAATAATTTTAAAACAAGTGTGTCTTTTCTTATTATTTCATCTTGTACTTTCTTATATTCAGGTGACCATATATTTTATTAGGAAATAATAATGTACTTTTTTCCAAAAATTATTAATATGAAAATTAGACCATTTGAGACTTTTTCACTGTGTGATATTAAGTTTCATTATTATTTCATTCTTATTTCAGTAACTATTCAAATTCTAATAACAAAAGACTACTTTTTCCTTTTGTTGGCTGGTCTGAAAAGTACAACTTTATACACTGTTATTGTCGTAAACTGATTTTTTTTCATTCCTATGACTGACTGTACAACATACAATTTCTAGGCTATATAAGGTGCACAACACAAATGTAATGAGAATAAACTAGAGAGGATAAGGGTGAATGAATCAAACACAAGCATAAAGAAAAGGAAGTAATCCACCTTGGAAACACAGAACATTATCATATTCCTGGTTGCTGCTGTTGGTAGCATCCATGTCTTGATAAGAGGCACTGAGAGGCAAACTTCTGCATTCATTCTGGTACAACGGACAGTGAATAGCACCATCGTGAGGCAGTGGATGCAAAGGCTGGCGTATGGGACTTTTTCTAAAAACTTTAAGGGAGGAATTCCTTTCAGGAACATCGGGAAGCAATTCAGAAATAAGTCTGTGCAATATACTATTGTCAGGCAAGCTTCCCCTTCTTTTCTCTGCTTTGATTTGGTCACAGATATCTTTAAGAGCAGAGTCCAGGGCGTCAAAGACAGATGATTTGCATTTAGTCTTTTCAACCTGCTTTTTGGGGAGTGTGTTTTTTTTCCTCCGGAAAGGCACTGGGCTGACTAGGAAGGCTAGTTTAGAGAGGCCAGCATCGGAATCTTGTCGCTTAGGATCTTCTGGGGTGGTTTCCTGTTTAGCCCTTGCATGCTTCAGCATGGTGGTGAAGCGTGTGTATGAGGCTGGACATCTTCCTTTGCAGGAGCTGATAAGATGCTTGTGATGGTGGTGATGTCCTGATCCATAAAAGCTTTCTGAGGATGTGAAGGAGAAGTGATCAAAATCGCTTTCACTACAAAAAGATGAGCCTTCTATCTGTATGAAGTCACTCATGTCAGAGACCACTCCATCTTGGTCACTGTCTGAATAGTCCATCTGAGATCTTTGTGGCTCCTCACTAGTTACTTCAATGTGAATTGGCACCATAGTGTTGGACTTGTAATTCTTTTGCACCTGAGTAGTGTGCCTATTTTGATTTTCTTCATCCAGCAAGGATTCAATAGAAAACCGTCTCATTGTACAAAAGCCATTTTTAGGGGGTTCCATGAAGCTTACAGTTGATAATGCTTCTTCCCCTAAATTTGGCATTGATTTAGATTTCTGAATTAGTTTTTCAAATTCAGATATTCTATTGGGCACCATGTCTCTTGGTACTTCCTCTGTGGAGGATTCTTTCCAACCATGTATCAAGCTCTTATGCTGTTCCTTTTCATACTGTAGCACTCTGGATTTTACAGAACAGATCACCTCAGAATTAAGCAAGTCTTTGCGGTTAATGCGGTGCATTCTTTTGTACAGTTTTAGGAATCCAGGAGCATCATGGGCAGACCTAAGATGTGCCCTTGACCGGTTGGAACCACGAGTTTCAGAGGAATATGGGGAAGCCCAGGTAAGGGAAGAATCACCTTTGGAATTGTCTGCACACAACAGGGACACCATACTTTCAGATTTATTCTGTGTATCAGAGAAGCAACAGCGATCATCAGCTAATAGGTCATCGTAGCTGCGAGATTTGCGTTTGGGAGAGGAAGTTTCTTCAGTGCTGCTCCAAACTTCTGCATTCTGACGGGCCATTTGCCAGCCATTCTTGTAGCTGAGGGCTCTTCTTGAATCACCTGGAACAGCTAATCGCTGCCCATAATTTTTACCATAATCTAAATCATTCGAGGTGTTCTGGTTGGGGACTGAATAACTGGAAAGGGATGAATATGTTTTGCTAATATCCCCACCTTTATAATCCATAGAGCAGCATGGTGAAAAAGAGACATTGCCAGAAATTAACAGATTCAAAAGTAGACAGAAAAATAACAATTATTACATGCCAGAAAGAAATCAGTGGTGAGGAAGCACTTTGATTTTCTTAACATAAGAGTTAATAATTATTATTGCATAATATGCATACCTAAAATACAATAATCATTCAGTTAACTTTGAATTGCACTATCAATATAGAAAGGCTTCTATATGTATCTTTAAATTTTTGGAATGGCAAACTGGGTACCATTTCTCACCTAGTCTCCCTAACATGCTGTAAAATTGTGCACATACATTATCATCTTTGTCAGATTTTAAGGTAAGTTAACTAAAAAAAATTAACTGCACCTCCTGTTCAGAAATCTAATCCAGGCAATAAAATTAAAATTAAAAAACAGCCCAATAATTGCTGAAAATAGACAAAATGAAAATGAAAAGTGATTTCTGGATCGGCTGATTAAAAAGGATGAAACGTGGGGAAAAATGGAACTACATAATGTAACTCTAATGGGGGAGAGATAGTAGAAGTTTATTTGCAACTGCTATATAGAAGATCAGAAGTCATATTTTAAATACTCTTTTTCTTTCTTTCTTAATCTATATTATTTCCAGTACCTTTTATTTGATCTTCTTCCTTTTTCTACTTTCCTTTCATATATTGTCTTGTTTATTTTTTGATTATGTAAGCTTTAAATAAAAATTATACATTATAAAAACAGCCAATAGAAAACCAGGTATAGATGTATTACCTACTTGGAAAGACTTTGAACAATTTAGAAAATTGGTAGTGTACCATAACCTTAGGCCCCTTTGCAGTTTTCCCAATTTAAAAATAAGATTTTCCATTTGTTTCTCCACCTTTCTCTTTCTCACCCCACAGGTTTTTTTAAAAAAATTCTTCCTCTGGTTATTCCTGTCATGCCCCTGGTGGAGGCTGACTCTGAGGGAGAGGAGGAACAGCCAACAGGGAATGGAAGTGTGGCTCCAGAGGTGGTGGAGGAGGCTGGGGAAGGGCAGAGGCTGGCTGGGCAATCAGAGGAGGACCCAGGCCTATCCCCTCTCCATCCTAGGGCATGCAGGGAGGAGAGGATCAGGGAAAAATGTGATCCATCCTAGGGCTATTCGGGAGGAGAGGGCTATGATCCTCTTCATGAGTTGCAGGTGTGAGATCTGCATAAGAGTTTGGACCTGCGTGCTAACAAATTCTGGAGACAAATAGTGTTTTATTCCTGGATGAAGTTTATCTTGGTTGGCGTTCTTCCAACGGACTGTACCTGGTTATCTTCCTGAAGTTTCTAATTATTTATCCTGGTCTCTTGTGGAACTTTCTTCAGTGCTGTTTGTTTTTGTTTTTTGCTTCGTTATCTGCTCTTTGAATTTGAACTGTATTTTCTTTTGTTTGGAATGTTCTTTTGAAAATAGTTTAATCTTCAACTGTGAACAATTAAACAGTGAAGCCAAGTTGAAGGCATTAAAGGACCTTTATTTACATTTTGATTTTTGTTATATTTTTGATACACTCCAGGTCATCACAAATATTGGTGATATTTGTAATGTAACAGAGTGAACAATGAGGAAACTTTTAAGCTGTAAACTTTAATCAATGGATTTACAGGGAAAACAGTTAAATGAGCACTGATATGTTGGAATACAATTTTGGTAATTGGGAATAATGGGAGTTGTAGTTCAACAGATGTGAAGTTCGTAAAATTTGGGAAAAAGCAAAACTAAGGCACTTTATCCATAACTCTCAAAATCCATTGCCTGAATTAGATTGGTTCCAGCAAAATGGAACAAAACAGAATTGCTATTTGCCCAAGCATTGAACACTGACATTCTGCAATACAATATAGAAAATGTTATAAATATATGCAAACAATTATCCCATCTTGACTCAGATAATATTAGCCAAGTACTAATGCTGATTACTAATTTTGTACCCTGAAGTATTAAAACTAGAAATGTGTTAAATGTTAAAGTGTCATGCAATTAAATAATCATTAGAAGAAAGTTATCTTAAATGCCTTCGATTTTAGACTGCTTTTTATATAAACAAGTAGGAACACTTGCACAAATAAACCCTGTTAACAAATGAGAAACATTAAAACAGAGAATGCAAACAGTCCTGATTTTCAGTGGAACATATTGGGACGTTGAGACATTAACTATATGGTATATGTGTATGTGTGTATAGATATTCCTCAACTACAATTGAGCCTAAAATTTCCTTTGCTAAGGAGGCAGTTGTTAAGTGAACCACCACTTTTTTTGTCTTGATGGGCTGCACCAGAAAGCTATTAATCATAGTTGGCAGAGGGAGGCTTTGCTGGGAACAATGTGTTTGGTTTATGGCTGTGTTTGGCTTTCTGCTTGACCTTGTGCCTTGGAGATTCTGAACTTCTTTTGCCAAGTGAGCTCTTGTGGGTATATTTCAGTTTGGCCTGGTAAATTTAAGATTGTTTGGTGGGCTTATTTGTTGGAGCAACTTTCCATTGTTTTATGGACTATTGGGCATTGCCTTGTGGACCTTGGCCTGCTTCTGGCTGGATTTATTTGGGACAGTTCTGAGGCTGCGTGAAGGGAATTGCTGGGGAACATCAATAAACTCTCTAAATCACACTTTATGTGTGGGTGTGGGTGAGTGGGGCAGCACAAGAAGACACAGACCACCCCTAGGGGTGAAATGGATTTTTTTTTGTTAATTCAAAGGACCATTTGCCATTTTAACCCAAAAGGAAGATAATCCAAGAGAAGAGTAGATTTTCTTTAAAAAATATCATACAGAGACAAAAATCATGCACAATGCCCAGTTTTTCTACTTTTTCAACCAAGGGTTGCTCCAATAATGTGTGCAAATGACATAAACACACTTATGCATCTGTATATAAATTCCTGAACATGCACACATGTGTGCACATACAGGACATACATATATAGGTATCTGCCAGAAGCTACACTCCAAAAAAGGCTGATCCAGAACAAAAAATGCTAAATTTATATTTGTATATTATATACAAAACCCAATTTATAAAATGAATGAACCCATCATATACATATTACAACTGTTCCTTCTTTTACCATAAAATACTTTTACATGAGTGTATATTTACACTTCTCCCCTCTTTCCAACATAATTAGCAAAAATGAAAAAAAAGGAGAAAGAGGAAGAAAAGGCAAAAGATAGAATATAAATGAGTTAAAAGGAAGGATAGCTATGTTAGAAAAGGGAAGGAAAGAAAAAAGAATAGAGAGAAGAAAGCTGAATGGAATTGGGACAAATAGAAGTATGTAATAGGGATAGTAAGAAAAAAAGAAGTTTTTTTTTTAGGTATTACAACAAAGACTAACTTCATAGACAAACAGCCTCTCCCACCCAATGGCTACTCTTCACACATTCGTTTTTGTTCAATAGTTTCGTCTATTCTTCTCAGCAACTCTAAGATAATCTTTACTCTCCCTTCCCCAACACAGTTAATTACTGGGATGTCTACAATGTCTGGTCCAAAAAGTCAAAATGGCAGCTGTCATGAGGCAAATCTAAGTGACAGATTTGCCTCATGACAACCTAAAAATTCAGATGGAGCTTCAATTGCACTGTTACAGTTATCTTGGTTTGTTCATATTCCAATTGGGTAAATGGTACATGGCTGCCTTTTCAATGTAACATTTTGAATCATTATGATGGTATTGCAGAGTTGGGGGCAATCATAGGAAATACTTCAGGTGTTGTACAATAACAATAACCAGGAAGCATTAGCAAATATGTGAAATGGAGAAGTATTGCAGAAATGAAATATGGCAGAAAAAAGCTCTTACTGAATGCAGACATAGAAAGCCTGCATTAAGAGTTCACGCCCCATAAATGTTTGCCAAGACAATAATTCATTTTCCTATTCAGTCATTAAAAAGGGGTAGTTCATTTATCGAACATTAAGAGATATGCAGACTGCATTTCCTTTGGATACATTTATGTTTGTGATTTATGTCTTGATTCGTGATGTATGACAATCTTAAAAGATAATATTATATTTGGGAAGAAAATGCCCTCAATCCCCGTCTTTTCCTTGTCTGGTGAATCAACTTTAAATGTTTTTTTTAAAAAGATTTTAATTTGCTTATTTTTAATAAAAGAAAAGGCTACAAAAGTCTTCATATGATGACCTGCTGACATATCAGATTAGGAGATTAATATGAATATAAATACTGGATTTCTATTCCTTCCGTGCAAATTGGACTGGTGAGTTTTGATTGTTTAGTAGAATTTGAAATTCATCCATATTGTTTTGGAATTCATGAATAATTATTCCAGTTTATTTATCCTTGTGCTCATGTATTACCTTTTGCTCTTGATGGAGAAGATGGAGAAGAGGTTGTAACAGGCTTCCTAAGGGTTGAATAGGTGCTCTGTGTATCTGTACGACCAAGAGTGTATCGATTTACATTCTGATCAGTGTGGACTTTCTGCTGAGTTACTGCAGGCTCCGACTTCCTTCGTTTTCTGTAATCACTTGAAGTACTTGTAGAACTGGAGAAGAAAATAATAAAGTAGCAAGACATGTCTAAGATGTCTCCTTGGAAGTCAGCAAATAATTAAGCTCATTAGCCATTGCTAACATAACTAAATACAGTACCAATAAAAAGGCAAAGGCTTCCCTATTTAATTGTGTCTGACTCTAGGTTGTGGTGCTTATCTCCATTTCTTAGCTGATGGAGCCAGCATTGTCCAAATACATTTTCTGTGGTCATGTGGCCAGCATGGCTACATGGTAAGGTGCATTGAATGCTGTTACCATTCCACCAAAGTGGTATCTATTAATCTACTCGCATTTGCATCCTTTCGAACTGCTAGGCAGGCAGGAGCTTGAGCAAGGAACAGTGCTCATCCCATTGCGCGGCAATAACAATAGCACGTATTCTTATATACTGTTTTCATAGTGCTTTATAGCCCTAAGTGATTATAGAGTTAGAATATTGCCCCCAATATGTTTGTAAAATTCTTTGGGAAGAAGGGAAAGGTTCTATTATTTGCTTTCCTTATGAGGTAGCCAAATAATGTATCTTGATGTCTTATTCATGTCCACTTGAAAATCTTTTCTACAATTTCCAAAACTACAACATCCATGCAAGAATATAAAAATGCAACATGTGTTCTGCTACAATATTATTTATAAATAATAAGGATAGAAGGGTAACAAAATTCTGAGACAAAGCTATGTTGAGACCGAAAATGAAGCACTCCACAGTTTAGCTATCCTATTTGCTTATTTAAAATAAAAATGGTACATATAAAACATTTTAAATTAGTATACATTAATACTTTATTTCAAAGCAACACTAGAAAATTATTTCAATCAGACAAATATAAAAACAATTGATCATTAAAAGCAAAGATAAATGCCATTTTATATGTAGAAGTAGATCTATTTTAATCTTTACTCTGTCAGAGTGAAAAAAATATTATGGCATTTGAGAAAGATGGAAGAATAGTACCTTCTTAAACCACACATGGATTTTTATCTGCTTTAGGTCAACATGGATATGTGTTTGTAGAAAAATCACACATCTAAAGTGTGACATATATTCCTTCCTTCCTTCCTTCCTTCCTTCCTTCCTGTATACACCTCAAAAGACTCTCCCAATGTGGCCCCTCTATACATACACAAATGTAAAAACCAAGATTCCATATGTATGTATGTATGTATGTATGTATGTATGTATATATCTGGATTAATGACGTTTAGTTGCATTCAAGTTCATATGAATACATAACCATCATAATTAATAGTGTACTTACTTGTAGCCTTTTATTTCTAGTTTTACATTTCCAAAGCCTGGGATATTACACTCACTATACATTTTTACTACTATACTACCATCTCTGCTGGTTGATAAATTTTGCTGTTTTGTTTTATTTTTGTATGACTAGGTAGGATGTGGAGAAGATATATGATGACATATTTACACAAAGAAGCAAATTAAGTTTTACTAAATTACTTAAAATACATTGCAATACGAAGTGAAGCAGTTATAATATATCTATAGTCTGTTAATATTTATTGTTAATGGGTTTAATTATATCGGTAACACTAGTTTTTTACAGGTAGACTTTCTTCCAGAACCCAGGTCCTTCGCTCTATGGTTCCAAAATAATCCTTCTCTTAAATTCTCCCCTCTCTCTGGAATATAAATTGGAAGATGTACATTGTGTTGCTATGCTTAGACTAGAGGTTTTGTCATTCAATCATCAGATGCCTTTACAAAAAGAATCTTATGAAAATAGCAAAGGATACAGGATGGTCACGGAAATCTTATGCTGTAGCACAGTGTTTTTCAACCTTGGCCACTTTAAGACTGCTGGTTGAGGAATTTGGGGAGTCAAAATCTACACAATAACATTGAGAAATACAGCTGTAGCACATATAGATAAATTATGCCTAATTCAAAGAGAAAATGGCACAAGGAAGTTACAGGAGCTGTATAAAGTGAGAATAGTTGCAGGAAAATTTCAATCTATACTGTGCTTAATCTAAAAACGGATATGGAATTATCTTTCTGTAGGAAAAAAAATACCAGGCATATAATGTAAGAACTGTTTTAAGTATAAGCAAGAGATTTTGCATAACTTGAAGGAGCCTTTTTCTTTCTACTTGTATTTAGATATTTGATTTCTCTTACCTAGAAGGTCTATCCACCCGTCTGTCTGCTGGACTGTAGTATAAAGATGTCTGCAGAAATAAGCAAGCATTTTAAACTGGATTTCAAAAATATTCACAACCAAACATTATATTGATTGATTGAAGACTCTCACAATCATTAGTATTAACTATGTAATTAAAAGTAGCTTTTAAACTAATTTTAAATGCTGTTTTTAATATTGGAGCTAATATCTATTTTTTTTCAGCCAGTTTCTCAAATTAAACCTGATACCCTTATATTGACTAAATATTAGAAACTATAACAATGAAAAAAATAATTAAAAATAATGTATTACTTGCCACAATATTAAAATCAAATCAAGATGGAAATTATCTGTAAACATAGCTTAAACTTTTGTAGCATATATTGCCATTTGTTGACTTTTTAAACTTCATGTTAAGCACACAGTTTGGTCTCCAGACTTAAAGATTTTGTTTTGGCACAGGAGTAATATTAAAATGATTATTTTGAGAATACAAATACTATTTTTGTCAATATAAATTCAAATTTAATAACAAATATTTTTAATCTGGTATCTTAGCAGATGTTAAAGCTTGAGCTGGAAATAGCCACATATATTATTACATGTAGTCCTTGTTTAATGACCACTCATTCAGCAACTTTTCATAGTTATGATGAAATGAAGAGACTTATGACTGGTCTTGGTGGTTGCAGCTGCTGCAGCAACCCTATGTTCATGTAATTGCGATCTGGCAATTGGGTCTTTGGACCTGACTCATATTACAACACTCACAACTTCCCACACTCACATGATCATCATTTGTGACCTGCACTGTCAGGTTTCAACAAGTCAACCGGGAATCCAGCAGGAGGTGGCAATTGGAAATCTCAAGATATCACACTAAGGACCATGCGTGATTTGTTTAAGGACTGCAACTGCTCTAAATGCCATTGTAAGTTGCAGCAATCATGTGATGTCACTTTACAACCATACAGCTTAGTGAAGGTGCTACTCATCCTAATTATCACTATTAAAAGGAGGACTACCTGTACAGAACAACCAGCAGGATTTGGGAAAAGAAGAACCCCATCCCAAGTACAGCTTATCAAATACATAAACCACCTATCTAAGTAGTGTAGACTGACAAATGTTACTTCTTTGCTTGGGTTAGGAGAATGTGCACTGTTGCATCTAAAGCAGGCAAGTTTAAGGATCTTAAAAAGGAAAGTTTAGGTGCCTGCAATGTAACCTCTGCCACTTGAACTGGCAGTATCCTTTGTCTAATAGCTATTCTTTGGACTTTACTCAGCATTACTCTGCAAATGTATCTATAGAAGATGTACAAAGGTTGTCCTCAACCTATGACAATTTGTTTAGTGATCATTCAAAATTCTGATAGTTCTGAAAAAGATGACTTGCAACCAGTCCTCACACATATGACCATCACAGCATTCCCATGTTCACATAATCACAATTCAGGCGTTTGGCAACCAGTTTTATTTATTAAATTTCTATGCTGCCCATCTCACTAATACATCAACCCTGGGTGGCTTATAACAGTTGCAGCATCCTGGGCTTACAACAAGCAAAGTCAATGGGGGAAACCGGATTCATTTAATGACTGCATGATTTGCTTCACAACCATGGTGATTTGCTTCACATTTGCAGCAAAAAAGGTCTTAAAATTGGATGCAGTCACATGATGACTTCCTTAATAACTGCATCACTTAGCAACAGAAGTTTTGGTCCCAATCATGATTGTAAGCTGAGTAAATCTGTATAAAAATGTAATCCTGTATTCAAATTATAGCATTCAGGTAAGCATTGGCCAGACTGGGATTTCAGAAATATATAATATATACAATAAACTTTTTATAAGGCAGAATCAACTATTAAAAAGTTTAGACACAAAGCTTTAAGAAGACTGAACTCATGAACAAAATCTCAATTTAGTACTTTTATTAAAAAGCCTATTATGCATATTAGTAGGCCAGTTAATGTAGAGAATCTTCATTGTTTGAAGACTGCAGTTTACATGAAGACTCCATAGGGTAAAAGTTTGTATTAAATGAGATAGAAACAGAAATGGAAAGTCATCATTTTTCCCTATTGCTCTATTGTACTAACACCAGCCTCTTGGAAATCTTTGTGACAATCTCTCCTATACATGCTTGAGGGACACCCAGTTGAAAGGATTGGCTTTAGGAAGAAAGAGTTGGCATCATCAGATTGCAAATTTTAATGGACAGGAAATAGCAACAAGATATATTCTGAAGATTGCTCTTAATTCTCTCAACTACTCAATAAAGGCACATATTTCACTCTGTTACTTAATTACAGACATGCAATTGGAGACCCTAAAGAACAGGGGTCCCCAAATGTGGCAACTTTAAGACTTGTGCACTTCAACTCCCAGAATCCAGCACAGCTGGCTGGAGAATTCTAGGAGTTGAAGTCCACAAGTCTTAAAGTTGCCAAGTTTGGAGACCTCTACTAAAGAACATAGTCTACAAAGGAAGTAACTTGTTGAAAAAAGGCCAATATGGCTTAAGAGTTTCTTCATTATCTAAATGTATGTTGAAGTTTTTTTTATAATTCTACAGGTATATGAAACCAATTGGAGACTAAACATATCTCTTATTTTCACTTCTTGATAAGCAAAAGAAAATTTTGCACCACTATTATAGAAAATTGATTTCGTTTCTGCTGTTTTAAGAATATTGAGGTTTTTAAGGAGAACATGTTCAACTTATGCTAGAAAGATCAATGTTCATAATAATCAAAGCACCCAAACTTAAAAACAACAACCAAAAAGATTTGAGAAATGCTATCTTCTTTGTTTAGATGTTCAGAATCTACTGGTAAGTAAAATTTTTTATAGATGCAATGTTTTTGAATTACTGGTATTTATTGAGATTTTATTTCTATGACTACCCAGGATAATTCTGGGAGGCTTAAAAAGTCAAAAATAACAATATAAAAAAACCTCAAACAAGTTTGCCAGGGAGAAGGCTGGGGAGCAACCCACAATAAATAATTAACAATAAATAAGAAATAAAGTTTGCAGAATCCATTGTAAATTTATTTCACTATTACTTTAAAATTCTTAACTTTTGTCTGGTTATATTAATTCTAAACCAATATTAAGCATTTTTGGAATTAGTAATTCACTCTCCTGATTCTCAACATATTACTGTATATAGTTTATACACTTTGATTTCAACACATGAAATGTACAGCAATTAATGAGTTTACCTAACATGATGTTTTTCTAATGTTCTAGTGCAGTATTTTGTTTTTTATTTATTTTATTTATTTTGTCAAATGATTATAAGTAACAGGTATAAGTATAAACATAGTTATGAACACATGAAATGGATACATATAAGAAAAATAAAAAGAAACAATAGGACAGATACAGTAGAAGAAACCACAGAGTCAGGTAGAGTATTCCAGACATTGACCACTCTGTTCCTGAAGTTATATTGCCTGCAATCAAGTTTGGTGCGGTTTACCTTGAGTTTGTATCTATTGTGTGATCTTGTATTGTTATGGTTGAAACTGAAGTATTCATTGACAGGTAGGACATTGCAATATATAATTTTATATACTATACTTAGATCGGATCGAAGGCGGCGTAGTTCTAGGTTTTCTAGGTCTAGAATTTCAAGTCTGGTGGCATAAGGTATTCTGCAACGAGTAGACGAGTGGAGAACTCTTATTGTGAAATATTTCCGGACTTTCTCAACTGTATTAATATCAGATACATAATGCGGGTTCCAGACTGATGAGCTGTATTCAAATATTGGTCTAGCAAATGTTTTGTATGCTCTAGTTAATAGTGTGATATTACCAGAGAAAAAGCTATGTAGGATTAGGTTAACAACTCTTAATGCCTTTTTGGCTATGTAGTTACAGTGGGCTCTAGCACTTAGATCATTAGAGATGAGTACTCCAAGGTCCTTGACAGAGTTTGGATCATCAAGGTCTTGACTATTCAGCTTGTATTTTATTTTCTGATTTTTTTGCCATTTTTTTTTGTTCAAATACCAAAAGTCAGAATAATAACTATTATTCATTATTTTCCTCCCACTTCCATCTGCTAGTGCAGCAGCAATGTTTATTGTTAAATGGTTATGGGAATGAGATTTGTTGATCCCAAATTGTCTGACAATTGATATATTCTTTCTGTTAAAAAGAGTTCCCTTGTGATTAGCTGGATTGAGCTTGGAGTTTGTTTGGTTTGGTGCCTGGGAATAAATGACTCTGCTTTCATCCTTGTTTTTATCGATTATTGTGAGCTACCTAGGATTATTACATGAGATGGTAATATAAGTTTTGTAAATAAATAAAATAAGGCAAGTATTGCTAGGATATTTTTACTGAAAGATATTTCATATTTATGGGATTGTAGTTGGGCATTTGTGTGTGTTAATACACTAGAAAAAACAGTTATAATTGTATCATTGGAATGAGTTTTGTAGGATAGTATGCAGGTGAACTGAATGTCCTGTATTTAAATAAGAGAAAATTCAATATTTATGTTGTCCCCAAATTTTAACCATCCATTGAAGAAACATGCTGATTTACCTCTTTGGAAAAACCTGGAGGATTGTCTTGAACATAATCCAAAATCTTTTTAGGAGGCTGCATCATATAGGTAGAATTGCGAGATGAAATGGAGAAGAATCAATGGCAGCAAGGAATGAAACATGGAGAAGGTGACATAGTTAGAAACTGAGTGCTGACAGAATTACAAGAGTGATAAAAATGCAACAAAATGAGAGGATCAGTCTGGGGTAAAGAATATGTGATAGTAGCTAATCGTTTTAATAAACCTTCCACTGTTAGTAAAGTTGCAGGTAAAAAACTAAAGTAAAACATAACTCTCCCAAATTCAATACCATTAAATTGGGAAAGATGGAAGAATGATGGGAGAAAAAAGAGAGAACATAATCACTTGGTCTTGTTTGAGGCTCTGCTGTGTTTTCAGTGAGGCTAATGCTTTCTGTAAAATTATGGATACAATCCAACTTTTGCTATTCTGATTGTCTTCTTCACTGGGTTAGATCTGAACAGATGTTGACTCTGGAATAAAAGCACTTATGATGGATTGTATTGCACATCACAGAATGAACTGTAATAAATAGCTCTCTTTAAGATTAGGTTGCTAGAAAATAAAGTTCCTGCAATATAGCAAATTGTTTCACAGAGAGATTTAGGTCCAAAATACATTGAGATCCAGAAACCAAAGTAAATGGACAGAAGGGGGCAGGGATAGAATTGTAATGTGAGGACACAGAAAAGTGCAAGGTAAAACATGGCTCTGATTTCCAGTAAAGGCTGAATTTACCATAATGTCTAGTTTGGTCTTCCCAGGTTGCAGTGAGATGGGAAACAGCAGCTTTTGGGAAATAAGGGACAATTTCAATTTGGGAAAAGTCATTAATGCCTCTTCAATTGTCTGCCAGGTATTTATTTCTTTTGGGAGGGTTTCCAAATGAGCTTTCATGTTTTTTAGTGTTGTTCTGGTTGAACTTTTTTTCTTTAAAATCAAGAAAACTAAATTTGTGTGAAATTCTTGTATTATTCACATAGTTTGATGACATATGGAAAACACTGAAGGATGATGGAGGGCTTCTCTTATGTTATGACTTTGAATCACAAGAAATTCCACAACTTTCCGAATCCAAGATAGCCTGGGCTAACATTATTTTGGACATTACTGGAAAAAAAAGCTGGTCTTATGGCTTCCTCCAGAAGACTGAGGATCATCTAAGTTCAGTTTGGGACAAATCCTGATATGCAAAACTGTCTTAGTTTTCTAGTAGCTGTGCTGTTTCACAGTTTTGTCCTTAAACCTGGGCAGCTTATGATTAACATCCATCAAAAACTTACACATTTGTGGTGCTAATAGTTTCCTTCACACTTCATAACAGCAATGCCATCACAGAAGCAGAATGCAGTTGTATTCCAAATGACTCTGGAGGCTGCAAAATCTGCAGGTGGCATTGTGTATTCTATTTATATTTAGAAAAATAGCCAAAGCAAAGAGCTGATGCTTGATTTTTAAAAAAAGTTTCTTTTCTATTAGGGAATATTTATTCTCTTTCAATGTTTTTGCTCCATATAACTTTGTGCTTTATAGTAATAATTATTCTGTTAAATCTAAATTAAATGAAAGCTAGTAATACAAATTGCCTTTATCTAGCTTTTTGTAAAAAAGCTTGAACAATTACTCAATCCAAATAATTATCAGTTTCTTGTCAATTTAAAAAGCTCTGTCAGCAAACACGTAAAAAGGAGTTTATTAGGGATCCACTTTATTGACTATTCTTAAGCATTTCTATAGGTTTCTCTTCACCTCACCAATGAAATTTATATATGATAACTGCAACATTAAAAACATATACTTCAAGTACAATTGCAGTAATTATTCCATTCTGAATAGATACACTTTCAGGATCTAGGCATTTTTTTACCAAAAATGTGTGAATTGATCCAAATCCCTAAAACTGATATATTCTAACCTCACTTACCGGACGTCCAAACTCCAGTTCTGAAAAGAACTTATACCAGGGTTCATTTTCTAAATCTATGTCATCTGGATTTATGCGATCAGTCTGGAACAGTTGTGAAGGAAAAAGGGAAGGAAAAGGCACACACTGATGAAAGTGTCAGGATGTCACTCTGACAATGCACTAACATTAAACATATATAATAGGAAGGAAAGAAGGTGAAACAAAAACAAAGGAATGAGGAAGGGAGGGTTCATGGTGAAAAGAGATTTGATATGAGAGTTGTCACACACTGACTTCCTCTTTTTGGTCTGTCCTCCAAATAGTTGTGGTGCATGCACACAATA